TTTCCCACGGGAAAAAAGTAATTTATGAAAAGTGACATTTTATAACCTGCCAACAGAGATGAAATGCCAAACTTTTTTCCCGTCACAGAAAAAAATAACATTTCTATCATCGACGCGTTTTTCGATTGACATAAATTTCGTATAATTTGGTAATGCGCACGCGGTGTTCTTTGCAATTCTGGCCACTCTGCTTTTGAATAGGGTCACGAAAATCAACCCGAGCCAGTGATCGAGTTAACAACATTCAATTTTCCGAACAGAGGTAGGTCTCTATGTAGGTAACATAACGTTCAGGTTGTGGATCCGATCAACCCGAGTAAGTTTCCAAAAACACCTTTTGGGTGCGTTCATAAACTAACTCTGAGTAAGGATTGCTAATTCCAAAGCGTTCATAAACTCACTCCAGCAGTTCAGAGTATGCATCCACAATCGTTTAAAAAATTTCCTTATGGTAAGCTCTGTCTACCCTGCATTTGAATAGAGTAATTAATTATGTACTCCGACATTCATGTGAAGTTTTGTTCCTCGGTGTTTGTTTATGTTCTGAATCAATATCTGATCGATTTTACGAGTAAACAGTGTGTCTCACTAGTGAGACACACTGGATAAATAGACCTGTGGGTTTGCTATCAAAGTGAATAGTTTTAAAGTATATTTCATTTCTGGAATTCCGTATCATGATTATATATTTTTGATCAGGTCACCATCCTCTTCTCTACTCATAGAAGTGAGTTTATGAATGCAGCAATTCAGTTCCAATGAAAAAATATGTTGCTCACCATAGGTCACGTGATGTGAGCATGGAAATTATTTTGTCTCCTCCACTACGGAGATCTTGGAAACGGTAAGAGATACAGAATTGGTTCATTGCAGCAAGGACAAAATCTAATCACTGATGTTGTAGTGCATTTTGTTTGTTTTCAAATGGCGCTCTTTACAATTCCTTTCCATCTTTCTTTTCAGTGTTACCAATGTAACTGTAATGAAATATGAGAGGTCCGATAATTCCTTCATTGTCTACCATTCAATATGTGCCACTGAACTATTCTCGTTGTCGTGTATGATAAATCACTTTAATATTAATAATTTGTGACATATAACATCGAGAATACTTCAGTGGGTCTAGCTAGGTGGTAGACAAGGAAAAAACTATCGCACCTTTCTCTATTTCAATACGTTACGTTGGAAGTTGATGAAAATTTGTTGGTTTCAATCGATTCGGCTGTATCATACAGTAGAGCTTTGGAAACTGCAATTATTTACTATCTAAACTGGGCGTCAATTGAAACGTTAATAGTGAAATTTGGCATCAAGTTTGATATATCGAAGACTGGAACCTTTGGCACGATAATACACTACACTGTTTTACCACTAACCAAACCGATTTTTTAACGCCTCGACACGTGTTTCGCTAACTATGTTTTAATCTTCTCCTGAAGATGCTAACATAGTTAGCGAAACACGTGTCGAGGCGTTAAAAAATCGGTTTGGTTAGTGGTAAAACAGTGTAGTGTATCAAGTTTGACTTCTCGTAATTTCTAAAATATTGAACAAATTTTGAATTGCCGCCCAGATTCTGAATGCCTTTTTCATCGTCTTTCGAACCGTTCCTTACAGCTTCTTCTATATTCATCAGGACCCGTGATACAGGGTGAAACAGAGTTTCGTGCATTTTGAAAAAAATTTCTCCGCCGCCCCCCCCCCCCATTTTGTCGGAAGACCACAATGCTCATATTTTATTCAGGCATTTCATAAATAGCAACCATACCTCGGGACGTTTTCGAGTTTTTGCCAAAAACTACTGTGGTTTCCGAAAAATAAATTTTTTGCATTTTTCTTAATGGCCTAATTTTAGAGGAGTACATTACTACCTGTATCCTCAAAACAATGAATCAGTCTATTTATTGTCATGACTGACTTATTGAGAATGGTACTTAAATAAGTTTGGGTATATCCTAATCGTCGTAACCTGAAATAATGATTATCTGTACTGAATTATAGTTTATATCACTATTATAGTGATCTCACCTAATGATATTTCCCATTTCGACCCGATTTGAACGAGGCATCTTTAAATTTTTTAGGACCCGAATAACACTGACGTTTTCATGAAAATTGGCAATTGATATAACCTCTATGCATACCTACATTGTTTCAACAATACGTTGTTATAGAGACGAGGTATCGTTGTTTGTTTTTGTTGATGAGATGTGTTGATTTACTGCTCACTAAGGTAGAAAACTTTTATCATAGACTGCGAAGTAATAAATTATTGATTGTTTTTTTAGTAACCTGGTATACATATCTGCTCCAACGCTTTCCTGGAATGCATGAGAGCATCCATTTATGGAACTCCTCTAAAATTAGTCCATTTAAAAAAATGAAAAAAATAATTTTCTTTCTGAAACCACAGTAGTTTTTGGCAAAAACTCGAAAATGTCCCGAGGTATGGTTGCTATTTATGAAATGCCCACATAAAATATAAGCATCGTGGTCTTCCGGCAAAATGGGGGGGCGGAGAAATATTTTTCAAAATGCACGAAACTTTGTTTCACCCTGTATCACGAGTCCTGATCAATTTAAAAAAAGCTGTAAGAAACCGTTCGGAAGACGATGAAAACCGCATTCAGAATCTGAGCGGCAATTCAAAATTCGTTCAATATTTTAGAAATTACGAGAAGTCAAACTTGATGCCAAATTTCACTATTAACGTTTCAATTGACGCCCAGTTTAGTTCCTCCTACTAGAGAAAAATCATTATCATATCACGTGGCCAATGGGAGCAATATTTAAACATTTTATAGGTAAAATCTCACAAATTCATAGTACTTTCGACAAAATATTTAGTGGGCGGTCAAATTGAAGTGAGAGAATGAACCTGTTATGTTGTTATTATCGCAAACATGTCGGGAAAATGTTAATGTTGAAAAACAAAATAAATCTATGAACTAGTATGAGTGAAAACTCCATATCACCAAAAATAAAAGTTTCTGCAGTGTGTTGGGACACAGAACGAAGCAAAAAGTCCAGACCAAAAACAAATAGCAAACAAAAATCAAGCAGTACTCAAACCAAGCGTGTGGAACAAGATAGATGAGATGAATTTCTAGGAGAGCTTCAAGTGTGTTCCAATCAAATAAAACCCAAGTCTTTGTCAATTGAGTTGTGAAATGTCGAATGTAGTTAAAGTCGCTGAAAATTAAGACACCAAGAATGTAGCCAATTCAGGAAAACTATCTTGTAGTATTTATCAGCAGAAATAATTTGGAGTGTTATGAAGAGTTGATTAACTGTGAACTGTGAACATTGTAACTTGAACATGAAAATGCACTCATCCTACCTTTTCAACTTCAATTGGAAACTAATCATTTTCGAAAACATTCAAGTTGGTGATCACATTCCGGTTAGAAAAAATATACTCCCAACTAGAAATGAAACACTTTTAAATTGAGAACAGGAATGTTTGTTGTCGCCAGTTCAATAAAAAGAACCACAGTGACAATAATGTTGATCATTGTCTTTCCAAATGAAAACACTTTAGAAGATGTATGATATTGTCTGTTCACTGACCCAAAATTGGTCTGCTTGTCAATGACACTGGTTTACTGGAAACTGTCAATATCTCATTCGTTCCAATTGAATATTTGTCAATATGGACAATTTCAGGTTGAACATCGATGAATCGAGAATTTTATCACTGCATAAAGCACAGGATTTTTTTTTGTGCATCTTGCTTTCATTGAAGTATAAGTTCCTATTTGAAATGTTTCAACATGAGCATTTTTTTTTACAAATTTGACAGAAAGGTTGATCTTCACAGGAATACGAATACGACGATAAAGTTGACTTTTCAAATTATTTTCGATGAACAGACAATATTATACCTCGCCTACAAGGTTTTCATGTAGAATGACAATGTGTTGACAGGCTAAAACATCATATTCGAAAAATAAATAACATCGACTGATACTGCCAGTTACTGCAACAAAATGATTATAAATTTTAAGTAATAGTTTCAACAGAATAATGCCTGAATCTTTATAATTCAACAAATTGTGCATATTCAAAGTTCAAAAGCACCATGTATTGCCAAAAGTAATAAAATGGCAAATCATAAAGGAAATATTATGCAGAGCATGCTTGAACTAAAATATCTACACAGAGACTTTATCTTTCTTCCTAAAATTATTGAGGTCTAGTTGATCTTTGAGCAAAATTTACCAAAATTTTTGCGTTCGCTGATTTCTGATGATTCTAAATGATCATTCCTTTATTTGATTTCTTCCACAAATGCTCAAAAAATGAAAAAACCATTGGTAGATGACGAAAGAAAATACAGGGTGTTCCTGAAATTGAAGCAATGATTACAATGAGATGTTATATGAGACATAATGACAAGATAAATCACAAGAAAACATTGTGTTGACATTTTTTAAAAAATTTGTGCTCCCACCATACTACATCTTCAAACTATTATTGAAAGTCCGGCTACATTGAAAAAGTCATTAATACTTCCGGTGCTTGTGATCTCACCGAAAGAAAACGTTTGGGTTGGGCTAAATACCTCTGATCAACGATTTACAAAAATGTTAGTCAAACTTTGAAGTTTAATATCTTCCAAAATATGTTTATTTCGACAAAAATGTATTCTTTCATTTCGTTTTATTTTTTCGTCTCTTATCATCGATTTGATTGATCTCCCCGATTTCGGAAACACCCAATATATTACTTGACTTGTTAATGCCACGCAGAACATTCAATTGAGGAATTATCAAGAATGCAATTCAATGTTCTGCGTGGTATTAGCCAAGAAAGTAGTTGTTCTTCTACCGTTATCTACCATTTGTTGTTCATTTTTTGTAAATTCGTGGGAATTACTTTAGAGTTTCTGCTTATTGATGCACTTTCAGCTAGAACATAAAAAAGTTAAAATCTCCGTACAGATACAACCGAATAAAAATAGTATTCCATCCCTCAATTCGCATGCCAATCACACTTACCCTGCCCGATTCCGAGGGCCCCATAGACCCCTAAGTACATGTCTCTGCGACCAGTGTCCACCACGGTGGAATTGTCGTCAGCCCATTTTCCTAGCCACACGTTCGCGCCGACGCTGAAACCCTGGTACATCAGGTTGAACAGCAAAGTGACCAACATGAAAAACAGCCCGATGGATTTGAGGTAGTTTTTGTACACTGACCAGCTCACGTTGCCCGTTTCCGCTTTTTCCACCTCTAAACGAACGAAATCGAAATTTTAGTCACCCTGTATGATCATGTTTTCCATTTAAAAGTGTTGTTATCGAAATTATATTAGGTATTAAAGAAGGGTAAGAATTATTTCAACATTATATATTATTGGCGCAGTCGGTAAGTATAATATAATGAAACCAGGTTCAACAGCAATGTGACCAACATGAAAACTGCTCGATGGAATTGAGATAGTTCTTCTACACTGACCAGCTCACGTTGCCAGTTTCCGCTTTTTCCACCTCTAAACGAACCAAATCGAAATTTTTAGCTCACCCTGTATACTCATGTTTGAATTGACACGTGTTGTTATCGAAATTATATTGGGTCTTAGAAGAGAGTAAACATTATTTCGACTTTATATATTATTGGCGCAGTCGGTAGGAATTATAAATGAAAACCTGGTACATCAGGTTGAAGAGCAAAGTGACCAACATGAAAAACAGCCCGATAGATTTGAGCTAGTTCTTGTACACTGACCAGATCACGTTGCCACTTTCCGCTTTTTCCACCTCTAAACGAACGAAATCGGAATTTAAGTCACCCTGTATAATCATCTTCTTCATTGAAAAGTGTTATCAAAATTATATTAGGTATTAGAGCTTTTTCCACCTCTAAACGATCCAAATCGAAATTTTCAAGTCACCCTGTATATTCATGTTTGAATTGACACTTGTTGTTATCAGAATTATATTGGGCCTTAGAAAAGAGTAAACATTATTTCGACTTTATATATTATTGGCGCAGTCGGTAGGAATAATAAATTTTTCCCCTTCTTGTTCACTATAATATGACTGTATCTTAATGATATGTAAGTTTTGTTCACTATTTATAATTTCAATTATACAACAGTCGATAATACTTCATGAATGATCTTATACCAGGAATTACTGTCTGATCATTCATGTCATTCCTACTAGAAAATTAATTATACTTTATATATTATTTGTATGAAATGTATCAATGAAGAAGAGAATGTAATGCAATAACTGAAATAAATAAATAAATAAACCCTGGTACATCAGGTTGAAGAGCAAAGTGACCAACATGAAAAACAGCCCGATAGATTTGAGGTAGTTCTTGTAGACTGACCAGCTAACGTTGCCAGTATCCGCTTTTTCCACCTCTAAACGAACGAAATCGGAATTTAAGTCACCCTGTATAATCATCTTCTTCATTGAAAAGTGTTATCGAAATTATATTAGGTATTGGAGAAGAGTAAGCATTATTTCGACATTAAATATTATTGGCGCAGTCGGTAAGTGCCAATGTGGCCAATATGAAAACTGCTCGATGGAATTGAGGTAATTCTTCTTCACTGACCAGCTCACGTTGCCAGTTTCCGCTTTTTCCACCTCTAAACGATCCAAATCGAAATTTTAGTCACCCTGTATATTCATGTTTGAATTGACACTTGTTGTTATCGGAATTATATTGGGCCTTAGAAAAGAGTAAACATTATTTCGACTTTATATATTATTGGCGCAGTCGGTAGGAATAATAAATGAAACCCTGGTACATCAGGTTGAAGAGCAAAGTGACCAACATGAAAAACAGCCCGATAGATTTGAGGTAGTTTTTGTACACTGACCAGCTCACGTTGCCAGTTTCCGCTTTTTCCACCTCTAAACGAACGAAATCGGAATCTAAGTCACCCTGTATAATCATCTTCTTCATTGAAAAGTGTTATCGAGATTATATTAGGTATTAGAGAAGAGTGAGAATTATTTCGACAATAAATATTATTGGCGCAGTCGGTAAGTATAATATAATTAAACCAGGTTCAACAGCAATGTGACCAACATGAAAACTGCTCGATGGAATTGAGGTAATTCTTCTTCACTAACCAGCTCACGTTGTCAGTTTCCGCTTTTTCCACCTCTAAATGATCCAAATCGAAATTCAAGTAACCCTGTATACTCATCACCCAGTTTTAATCTTCTCCTGAAGATGCTAACATAGTTAGCGAAACACGTGTCGAGGCGTTAAAAAATCGGTTTGGTTAGTGGTAAAACAGTGTAGTGTATTATCGTGCCAAAGGTTCCAGGCTTCGATATACTGTATACTCATGTTTGAATTGACACGTGTTGTTATTGGTCTTAGAAGAGAGTTACCATTATTTCGACTTTATATATTATTGGCGCAGTCGGTAGGAATTATAAATGAAAACCTGGTACATCAGGTTGAAGAGCAAAGTGACCAACATGAAAAACAGCCCGATAGATTTGAGGTAGTTCTTGTACACTGACCAGCTGACGTTGCCCGTTTCCGCTTTTTCCACCTCTAAACGAACGAAATCGAAATTTAAGTCACCCTGTATAATCATCTTCTTCATTGAAAAGTGTTATCGAAATTATATTAGGTATTAGAGAAGAGTGAGAATTATTTCGACAATAAATATTATTGGCGCAGTCGGTAAGTATAATATAATTAAACCAGGTTCAACAGCAATGTGACCAACATGAAAACTGCTCGATGGAATTGAGGTTGTTCTTCTACACTGACCGGGTCACGTTGCCAGTTTCCGCTTTTTCCACCTCTAAACGAACGAAATCGAAATTAAAGTCACCCTGTATAATCATCTTCTTCATTGAAAAGTGTTATCGAAATTATATTAGGTATTAGAGAAGAGTGAGAATTATTTCGACAATAAATACTATTGGCGCAGTCGGTAAGTATAATATAATGAAACCAGGTTCAACAGCAATGTGACCAACATGAAAACTGCTCGATGAAATTGAGGTTGTTCTTCTACACTGACCGAGTCACGTTGCCAGTTTCAGCTTTTTCCACCTCTGAACGAACCAAATCGAAATTTTCAAGTCACTCATTTGAATTGACACGTGCTGTTATTGAAATTATATTGGGTCTTAGAATTGAGTAAACATTATTTCAACTTTATATATTATTGGCGCAGTCGGTAGGAATTATAAATGAAAACCTGGTACATCAGGTTGAAGAGCAAAGTGACCAACATGAAAAACAGCCCGATAGATTTGAGGTAGTTCTTGTACACTGACCAGCTCACGTTGCCCGTTTCCGCTTTTTCCACCTCTAAACGAACGAAATCGAAATTAAAGTCACCCTGTATAATCATGATTTTCATTGAAAAGGGTTGTTATCGGAATTATATTAGGTATTAGAGAAGGGTAAGAATTATTTCGACATTAAATATTATTGGCGCAGTCGGTAGGAATAATAAATGAAACCCTGGTACATCAGGTTGAACAGCAAAGTGACCAACATGAAAAACAGCCCGATAGATTTGAGGTAGTTCTTGTACACTGACCAGCTCACGTTGCCAGTTTCCGCTTTTTCCACCTCTAAACGAACGAAATCGAAATTGAAGTCACCCTGTATAATCATGATTTTCATTGAAAAGGGTTGTTATTGGAATTATATTAGGTATTAGAAAAGAGTAAACATTATTTCGACTTTATATATTATTGGCGCAGTCGGTAGGAATAATAAATGGAACCCTGGTACATCAGGTTGAACAGCAAAGTGACCAACATGAAAAACAGCCCGATAGATTTGAGGTAGTTCTTGTACACTGACCAGCTCACGTTGCCCGTTTCCGCTTTTTCCACCTCTAAACGAACGAAATCGAAATTAAAGTCACCCTGTATAATCATGATTTTCATTGAAAAGGGTTGTTATCGGAATTATATTAGGTATTAGAGAAGGGTAAGAATTATTTCGACATTAAATATTATTGGCGCAGTCGGTAGGAATAATAAATGAAACCCTGGTACATCAGGTTGAACAGCAAAGTGACCAACATGAAAAACAGCCCGATAGATTTGAGGTAGTTCTTGTACACTGACCAGCTCACGTTGCCAGTTTCCGCTTTTTCCACCTCTAAACGAACGAAATCGAAATTAAAGTCACCCTGTATAATCATGATTTTCATTGAAAAGGGTTGTTATCGGAATTATATTAGGTATTAGAGAAGGGTAAGAATTATTTCGACATTAAATATTATTGGCGCAGTCGGTAGGAATAATAAATGAAACCCTGGTACATCAGGTTGAACAGCAAAGTGACCAACATGAAAAACAGCCCGATAGATTTGAGGTAGTTCTTGTACACTGACCAGCTCACGTTGCCCGTTTCCGCTTTTTCCACCTCTAAACGAACGAAATCGAAATTTAAGTCACCCTGTATAATCATCTTCTTCATTGAAAAGTGTTATCGAAATTATATTAGGTATTGCATTATTTCGACATTAAATATTATTGGCGCAGTCGGTAAGTATGATATAATGAAACCAGGTTCAACAGCAATGTGACCAACATGAAAACTGCTCGATGGAATTGGGGTAATTCTTCTTCACTGACCAGCTCACGTTGCCAGTTCCCGCTTTTTCCACCTCTAAACGAACGAAATCGGAATTTAAGTCACCCTGTATAATCATCTTCTTCATTGAAAAGTGTTATCGAAATTATATTAGGTATTAGAGAAGAGTAAGCATTATTTCGACATTAAATATTATTGGCGCAGTCGGTAAGTATGATATAATGAAACCAGGTTCAACAGCAATGTGACCAACATGAAAACTGCTCGATGGAATTGAGGTAATTCTTCTTCACTGACCAGCTCACGTTGCCAGTTTCCGCTTTTTCCACCTCTAAACGATCCAAATCGAAATTTTCAAGTCACCCTGTATATTCATGTTTGAATTGACACTTGTTGTTATCGGAATTATATTGGGCCTTAGAAAAGAGTAAACATTATTTCGACTTTATATATTATTGGCGCAGTCGGTAGGAATTATAAATGAAAACCTGGTACATCAGGTTGAAGAGCAAAGTGACCAACATGAAAAACAGTCCGATGGATTTGATTAGTTCTTGTACACTGACCAGCTCACGTTGCCAGTTTCCGCTTTTTCCACCTCTAAACGAACGAAATCGAAATGTCAGAGTCACCCTCTACACTCGTTTTTTGCATTGTCTTGGTATAGAAAATATATTAGTTCGTATTTCGACTTCCAACAGTCACTTTATATATTATTGGCGCAGTCGGTAGGACTTCTTGCAAATAACAATATGAAACCCTGCTATTGAAAATTGAACGAATCTGCTCCTGTAGCGATACAAAAATCCATTTTTTTATGTTGAGAACGGGAGCAGATTCGTTCCGGAAACGTCCGAAGCTGAGTGGAGATTTGATATTTTTTCTATATACCTTTATTTTTCTTCCCCAAACTTTGTTCAATACAAATTGTCACTGACAAGCTAGTGAATTCTTCTTTTAGGCTCTCTGATAGAAAAATTCTTTAAACACAGTGAAATTTTCGGGCAAATCATCTGATTTGTCCTTGCTACCTTTTTATTTAATAGAAACGAGGAGAGAAAATCCCCAAAAAACTGGAATAATGAATAGTAAAAGAAAATTAGTAAAAGAGAATCAGTAGAAGGAAATTAGTAAAAGGAAATTGGTGGAAGAAAATTGGTGGAAGGAAATAAGTAAAAGGAAATCAGTGAAAGGAAATCGGTGAAAAGAAATCAGAGAAAAAAATTCAGAGAAAGGAAAACAGAGAAAGGAATCAGTGAAAGGAAATCAGTAAAAGGAAATGAGTGAAATAAAATAAGTGAGAGGAAATGAGTGAAAGGTAATATGTGAAAGGAAATAAGTGAGAGGAAATCAGTAAAAGGAAATAGGTAAAAGGAAATTGGTGAAAGAAAATTAGTAAACGGAAATCGGTGAAAGGATATCAGAGGAAGGAAATCAGAGACAGGAAATCAGAGGAAGAAAACCAGTGAAAGGAAATCAGTTAATGAATAAGACAAATAAAAGAATGAACAAGTAAATAAATTACCTATCAGTTTCTCTCCTTTTTTCGCGATCTTTTCATCAACGACAGTCGCCGATTGCTTCCTCCCGCTCTTCTCCGCACTATCCGACGATCTTCTTCGTTGCAGCGAGCCGTTGCCGAGTCGGTCCGAACCGGAGTCGGAATGCGACTCGGAGACGGTGCGCGACCGGTGGCGTTCCAGTCGCCTGGCCACCTCCTCGGACAGAGGGGTGTCCACCAGCTGGTCTTTCAGTTCGTCCAGTTCTGGAATGGAAGGAGAAGAATGGGCGAGTGGAATGATAATGACAATTATTGGCAGTCAGTTACTCGACTGTGTCGTTGGGGACCTAAATCGATTTTTGCGACACATCTTATGCTTTTTTATGAAAATAATGATTATATGCGTTGTTCAAAATCGTTGAATTTTTATTTATTGAAAATGTGACTTCCAGTCAAAATCAAGTTCTGGTATAAGGAAGTTAAGTTAACAATAATACCTAAATGTAAAAACTTCACAAACAATAAGATTTCCACAAAATTCTCAAACACACGACATGTTTCGCTAACACAGTAGCTTCGTCAGGTGATATACTGGTACGATGAACTAAACCAAGATTGGCTTGCTTATAAACTGGGCGTCAATTGAAACGTTAATAGTGAAATTTGGCATCAAGTTTGACTTCTCGTAATTTCTGAAATATTGAACGAATTTTGAAGTGCCGACCAGATTCTGAATGCCTTTTTCATCGTCTTTCGAACCATTCCTTACAGCTCCTTCTGAGTTGATCAGGACCCGTGATACAGGGTGAAACAAAGTTTCGTGCATTTTGAAAAAAATTTCTCCGCCCCCCCATTTTGTCGGAAGACCACGATGCTCATATTTTATTCAGGCATTTCATAAATAGCAACCATACCTCGGGACGTTTTCGAGTTTTTGCCAAAAACTACTGTGGTTTCCGAAAAAAAAATTTTTTTAGCATTTTTTTAAATAGACTAATTTTAGAGGAGTTCCATAAATGGATGCTATTATGCATTTCAGAAAAGCGTTGGAGCAGATATGTATACCAGGTTACTCAAAAACAATCAATAATTTATTACTTTGCAGTCTATGATAAAAGTTTTCTACCTTAGTGAGCAGTAAATCAACACATCTCATCAACAAAAACAAACAACGATACCTTGTTTCTATAACAACGTATTGTTGAAACAATGTAGATATGCATAGAGGTTATATCAATTGCCAATTTTCATGAAAACGTCAGTGTAATTCGGGTCCTAAAGAATTTAAAGATGCCTCGTTCAAATCGGGTCGAAATGGAAAATCATTAGGTAAGATCACTATAGTGATATAAACTATAATTCAGTACAGATAATTATTATTTCAGGCTACGACGATTAGGATATACCCAAACTCATTAAAGTACCATTTTCAATAAGTCAGTGATGACAATAAATAGACTGATTCATCGTTTTGAGGATACAGGTAATCAGTCCATTTAAAAAAAAAATCAAAAAAAATTTTTTTTTTCGGAAACCACCGTAGTTTTTGGCAAAAACTCGAAAACGTCCCGAGGTATGGTTGCTATTTATGGAATGCCTGAATAAAATATGAGCATCGTGGTCTTCCCACAAAATGGGGGGGCGGAGAAATTTTTTTCAAAATACACGAAACTTTGTTTCACCCTGTATCACGGGTCCTGATCAATTCAGAAGAAGCTGTAAGGAATGGTTCGGAAGACGATGAAAAAGGCATTCAGAATCTGGGCGGCAATTCAGAATTCGTTCAATATTTTAGAAATTACGAGAAGTCAAACTTGATGCAAAATTTCACTATTAACGTTTCAATTGACGCCCAGTTTATATCCTTTTTTCCCAACCTGAAGGATTAGTTACCGTTGAATAGGTTCGATAATTCTCCATTCTCGGAAATCAGGCACAATATCTACATTAAAATACGGTGTACTAGATTGACTTGAAAGGGTTGATATCAAAAAACATATTATTATTTACTAAGAAAACAAATTCACAGTGGTGAACTATTAAGGTTTAATTGATCGTTAAGTAAAATGTCAGAATTTTTGAGTTTGTTGATTTCTAATGATTCAAAATGATTGAGTTTCATTCCTTTATTTTCTACGTGTAGAATTTCGAAATTATCATCAAAACTATGGTTTTCTTCTAACATATGGTTGGCGTATGTTGAATTTGTTTTTTTTTTTTCAAAAAAATTGTCTTATGTTCATGAATGCGCTGATTAAACGCACGACATGTCTGGCCGATATATACCTTAGGACAAGATCCACAGTTTAGTTTGCATACCCCTGATTTTTCGAATTTAGAAGGTTTGTCTTTATTATTCTTGATAAACCTTTCCAACGTGTTATTTGTTCTATATGCTACTTTCAACTCCTGTTTATGTAGAAATGCAGCTAATCTTTCAGTTGATGATCCAAAATAGGTTAAAGTTCTATAATTTTGATTATTATTATTGATGGTAGAATAAACTTCCTGAATAGCTTTATTATGAAGTTTTTTAGAAAGAATACTGTCTATCAAATTAACGTTGTATCCGTTGTTGACTGCAATATGTTTTATGATATTGACTTCTTTATTGAAATTTACTTCTGAAAGAAGGACATTCACTAGCCTGTGTATCATACTGTTATATGTCGCAATTTTATGTTGATAAGGGTGTGTTGAATCATTATGGATATCCATAGGTCAATCTTCCATTCCCACTCATGAAGTAAGTTTGTCAAGTCACCAATTATAATAAAGACAATCAATCAATCAATCAATCAATCAATAATGAACACTGGAAATATTTGACTCACCGATAAACAATCATATCTGTTATGTAGAAAGGCATCTCGAACACACAGATCCAACAAATTTCAACACAATCATTTTCCATATTGAAGGAGCACTGGGAAAATTCTTGAATAATATCTGCTTCTTCAGATACCAAACTTTATTCACCAACAACACGCCCTTACTCTAGTCTAAACTATACTGGTCATTCTTCCTGTTTATTCCCTATCACCACTCTTATCTAACTTATGTAACTCCTTAATCATGCATTCTTTACAATTATGTTAGTCATAAAACCAGCATTCATCAATATTTCGAACATGATACGGGGTGATGGTTCTGAATCACACAATACAGTGCGTTTTAGTTATGCACGTAATTTATCAGCCATTAGCTTTTGAATAATACACTCACCGGCAAAAAAAACCGGCCACCAAAAAATTTAGTCAAGTTGTTCGCCCTGTAACTTCTTTAGTTCTTGTCAGATTTTGGTGAAATTTTGAACAAATCGTAGATTCATGTTCCGGAATGTTAACCTGAATATGAATTCCCAAAAAAGCAGATAGCTTGGTCATTATACAGGGAAAAACAAGAGTTACTCATTTACCCATAACTTCTTAACGCCCTGTGGCTGAAGTGAGTGGTTGAACTCCTCTTCATTATGTCTTGGATTGAAGAGTATTCTTTTCTCATCACAATAGTTTTTGATTCACGTCGATATCTCATTGTTTAGAAAAGATACGATGGTTTTAAGAAAGTATGGAGTTATTCAAGTTTTATTTAACAATCATCAGAACGTACATAAACTTATCGATCGACAACTTAAAAAAAACATCTTTAAATCAATATGGCTTATTTCCACATTGTTTTCTTGGTATACTTCCCATATTATTGGAGACGGCTTTGTCTTGATGCATGACAACGCCAGACCACACGTTGCTCGAATTGTAACCGAGTATTTGAATGAGGTCGGAATTCTAAGGCTTGACTGGGCCAGCATGCAGCCCGGATCTCAATCCTATAGAGCATCTTTGAGATGAACTACAGAGGCGCATTCGTCTACGTCCGGCATTGCCAGAGACTCTTCGAGAGCTACGATTAGCCCTTCAAGAAGAATTTGAGGCATTTCCTCAAGACTGCTTGAGAAATCTGATCAACTCGATGCCACGGCGATTAAATGCTGTAATTCAAGCTCGAGGAGGGCATACTCGGTATTGAATACATCTAGGAGATCTACTTTTCGTTTGTTTTTTGTAATTAAGGTTTTTTGTGTAGGTGTGTCTACGTTCTGATTATTGTTAATAAAACTTGAATAACTCCATACTTTCTTAAAACCCTCGTATCTTTTCTAAAAAATGAGATATCGACGTGAATCAAAAACTATTGTGATGAGAAAAGAATACTCTTCAATCCAAGACATAATGAAGAGGAGTTCAACCACTCACTTCAGCCACAGGGCGTTAAGAAGTTATGGGTAAATGAGTAACTCTTGTTTTTTCCTGTATAATGACCAAGCTATCAGCTTTTTTGAGAATTCATATTCAGGTTAACATTCCGGAACATGAATCTACGATTCGATCAAAATTTCACCGAAATCCGACAAGAACTAAAGAAGTTACAGGGTGAACAACTTGACTAAATTTTTTGGTGACCGTTTTTTTTTTGCCGGTGAGTGTAGATAAGGAAAATAGCAGTTGATGAATTTCAAATTTAAAATTAGTAAAAGTGAGGTTACTTACTCGTCAGGTTGACAAGAAAATCATCCATAAAAACCGAAGATATATGGGTGATTTTATAGTCAACCCGACGAGTAAGTAACCTCAGTTTTACTAATTTAAAATTTAAAATTTATCAACTCACTAACAGGTACGTACTGATTATGCCTTTATAGTCGGAAACGCTCCGCTACGAGAAGTTTAATAAATTATTCTGCACGAAATACAACAATTTGTACAATTATTTGTTAAAATTTGGTCCACCCCAACCGTGTATTACCGTATTCCTAGGGCGATTCAAGAATTTTCTCCTCATAAGATAGTGCTCAAAATTATCTGATTTGTCGAGCGAAAAAAATTATCAATCACAATTGCTTAGCTTACTGAGACCACAAATCAATGCTCTAGCAAAATTGAAGAAAACGTATTAGGATTATTTTCCAAAAATTTTGATAATGGCAATCGACTCGGACTAGTCACAAATACTTCTATATCAATTTTCAAAACAATATCTCATAAGGGGTGTTTATAATAATAATAATAATGGTTCTTTATTGAATTGAATACATATGATATAACATTTAAGTACAATCATTACTATTCAATTCTACCGGCTATCGACCTAGGTCCTTCAGCCTTCAAGTTTATACTAATAAAATATAATCATTCCTGCTTGACTTTTTGTTTATGTTTATCAACGTTACAATTTTTGAATAATTGCATTTTTCAAGTCACCGTGTATAATAATACTAATAAGAATTTGAATGATATTAAACATGATGATAGCCCTGTATCGAACCTTCATGTCATACGAGTACTTGGTGCAAGACACTGCCGTCTATTGGATATAAAAAACATTCTAAGAAGTCATTCGAAGAAATGATAACGTACTTTTGAAATTCTGGTGGCAGATCAACATTCGCCAATTGTTTCGAGGAAAAAAATCGCTCATCCTGACGATCCTGATCAGGATAATGCAACAAAACTTTTCAATTATGCTATTCTCATCGGTCCTTGATGAAAAAGTTTGAGCAATATTTAATGTAGTCCCACCCTGTATCATACCCTCCTGAATGAAATTTTTGAATAATTTTAATTTCACTGCATTGAGCATGGAAATATTCGAGAAATATCATCTTCAGGAGTCCCCTTTCAGGAGGCCATAGCTCTCTTAAGAGACATTTTATGAGGTGATCATTGAAACTTTTCTTCCTATTTTTAGTCGTAGAAGCCACTGGTGAAGTTTGGCAGGGTAATTTCGGGATCCTCTGTTATAAGCAACTTAATGAAATGATAAAATCTTCAAACGTCGAAATATTCACTCACCTTCTTCGGTGAATCAGTAATAATAATAAAAAAATCAGTATAGATCGAAAAAAATCGCGATTTCATAGAAACATTTTTTTTTCATTTTCTTCAAAACAAGACATGAGTTTTTGCAATTTTGCCACTAACCTTCTTCGGTTTCCGCTTCTTCGCTGATATGCTGCAACAAAAACTCGGAAAAGGCCCCCTTTCTGTCCAAAAGCTCCTGATAAGTGCCACTTTCAGACACTTCGCCGTTCTTCAACACGATTATTTTCTCGGTTTGTGGCAAATAGGTGATGCCGTGCGTGACCAGTACCCTCGTCTTGTCCTTCAACAGCCCTTTGGGTCCGATCACCTGTCAAAAACTCGAAAATTACCTCATTTTCAAAGAGAAGCTTCAATAAATATGCACTAAAAACGGAACAATTCCGACAAAAAATCCCCCACACACCAATTCTGAATAGAATCGGATCATAATCACAAGACTCATTAACCATTTTGAAGCCGCCATCTTGAATTTCTCAATTTCGACGAAAGAATCATTATCTCCGACCCTGAAAACCCCCAGATACCAATTTTTAATAGAATCGGATCATAATTACAAAACTCGTCTGGCTTATTGGATCGGCCATCTTGAATTTCCCAATTTTGACGAAATAATCATAATCTCCGACCTCAGATACAAGTTTTGGATAGAATCGGATCATAATTACAAAACTCGTCCACCATATTGAATCCGCCATATTGAATTTCTCAATTTCGACGAAAGAATCACTATCTCCGATCCCGAAAACCCCTAGATGCCAATTATCAATAGAATCGGATCATAATAATTAAAAAACTCGTCCGCCATATTGGATCTGCCATCTTGAATTTCCCAATTTAGACGAAAGAATCATAATCTCCGACCCCGAAAACCCCCAGATACAAGTTTTGAATGGAATCGGATCATAATTACAAAACTCGTACGCCATATTGAATCCACCATCTTAAATTTCTCAATTTCGACGAAAGAATCATTATCTCCGACCCTGAAAATTCTCAGATACCAATTTCAAATAGAATCGGACCATACTTACGAAATTCGTCCGGCATATTGGATCCGCCATCTTGGATTTCCCAATTATATAATCTCCGACACCAAAAACCACAAGATAGGTACTAATTTTCAATAGAATCGGATCATAATTACATCTTGAATTTTCCGATTTTGACAAAAGTATCAAAATCTCCAACCCAAAAACCAGAAATTCGTTCGCCATTTTTGGGCCGCCATCTCGAATTTTCCAATAATCTCAGAAGAATCAGAATTGCCGACCCCGAAAACCCTCATTCGAAGATTCCGTTACAACCAGACATAAATACCACTAATATAAGCGTGTTAATGATAATTTAATTAATTTGAGATGGAAGAAATACAGTTTCAAAGGAAAATATTGCTTTTATTCTTGAAAATCGATGAACAACTCACCTTTTCGAAGATGTGCTTGCCCACGTGACTGTCCACAGCGCTCAGCGGATCGTCCATCAAATAGATGTCTGCGTCGGCGTAGACGGCTCTGGCCAGACTGACCCTCTGTTTTTGGCCCCCTGACAGATTTATCCCTTTCTCACCGATTTCCGTTTGGTCGCCAGCTGGCAACATCGCCAAGTCGGGCACCAAAGCGCACGCTTCGACCACGTTGTCGTAGAGATCTTGAAGAAAAAAGAAAGTTTGATTTGCATAGATCCGGCTCGAAGGACCAAAATATGTTCGATGCTTCATATTCGAATTGCTATCCTTCTTTATTTATTGATTTTATTGGTGAATCTTATGTTTCAACAACACGTCGTCAACAACGAATGAGAATATCTTATACTATAGAGGGTAATACAAGTACCAAACTATTATATGGGGTCATACAATCACTAAACAATTACGAAATCGCCGAAATGTCGAAAAAAATGAACAATGGTAGATGACGGGAGGGAAACAATTACATATCTGGATAATATCACGCAGCTCAGAACATCTTACTTTCACATACAGGGTGTCCATAAGTCATGGATCAAAAGAAGTGTTTTTTTTTATTCTATAAAAAATCAACGACTATAAAAATATGTCATATTTTCGATTTTTTTCTACAAATTTCACCCTCATGGATGCACCTTTCCCCGGAAATAGGTTACTTCGTATCAATTACCTGAGGCAAATGTTGTTTTTTTCCTTGAGTTTTGTCATTCAATGAAATATTTCAGTTGATTTTTAAATGCCACTGGCAGATTTAAAAAACTACCCCACAAAGGTAACCAATTATTTAAAAAAATTGCCATTTAATGCAGCTTTCGAAATCGATAAACATATGATGGTAACGTCATACCATGATCGACTGAATTGATTAATTAAAAAATGAAAAAAAAAACTGTCGCTGCTGGAGATTGAACCCGGGACCAATGTATAGTACTGCATTTTTATGAGTGGCCTTTATAGCACACTACGAATATCCGTAGTCAACCGAATCCTTCTCACAATGTCTCAACATGACAAATGTTTATTCATAAACTCGACAAAGGTGAATCTTGACAGGAATAGGAAAAATGTTAAGGTTTAAGGTTAGCATAACAAATGAATAATTTAGTTGGAATATAATTCCGGTAATATTTGAAGGTTAAAAATTCCTTCGCCTCGCAATGACTAACCTTTATTGTAAGCCTTCCCGAACAGAATGTTCTCCCTTAAGGTGGCATTTTGGATCCAGGCCTGCTGCGATACGTACGCCATGCTACCGTGCGTATTCACGACGCCCGCCATCTTGTCCATCTCGCCCAGAAAGGCGGACACGAGACTCGATTTGCCCGAGCCGACGGTGCCGACCACGGCCGATAGGGTGCGCTTTCTCAACCGGATGTTGATTTTCTTCAAGACGGCGTCCTCGCCCCAGGAGAAGGTGCCATTTTCGATCGTTAGAGGTTCAGCTGAGAATGAGAATGAAGAGTTGTTTTTTTCTGTGACGGAAAGATACTTTGACATCTCATCAAAGTTGAGAAGTTACGAAAATGTCACTTTTCATAAAATTACATATTATTTCCAACAGGATAAAAGACGGTACTTTTCTCCCGGATACATACCTATGGGTCGCTGAATATCTCGGTAACAGTTTGTGAGATTTTTTGAATTCATGTACAGGGTGATTTCAAAACGTGGTGGATTTGGAAATATTATCGCCAACGTTGCAACTCTTTCAGTTATTCTGGAATTATGAATAACTTCCTTGTTCTAAATAGAACACACTGTAATTTGAATTCTCCCTGAGAAACTGATTATGTCGATCTATCACACTTGAGGTCTAGCAGGAATGATTACATATATATAGGGTGTTAAAACCGAGATTTTTCAACTTCAGGATTTTTTTGTGTCGAAACTTCTCTATATTGGTAAACTCGGCCTTCCTGTCCCTATCTCAACTGTTGATTCACTATCTACTGACATTCAATTGAAACAAATACAGGGTTGTTCAAGATTCAGTATACTGATCACCCTATGTGTCTGTTCCGATTAAATGTCAGTAGATAGTAAATCAAATGTAAAGATAGGAATGAATAGTTTCGACACGAAAAAATCCATAAAGTTGAGAAATCTCAATTTTGAACACTTTATATCAATTTAATCATTTCCGATAGACTCCAAGTGTGATAGATCGATGAAATCAGCTTCTCAGGGAGAATCTGAAAATTGAATTAAGTACAGGGTGTTCCATTTAAAATAAGGAAGTTAGCAAAAATTCCTAAATTACTGAAAAAGTGGCAACATTACCGATAACATCTTCGAATCCGCTAGTTTTATTCGAGATTCATTTTCTGATGATTCAATTTCTTGAACGTTTTTCCACTAGATTCTGCGTATATTATCCATTTTTCTGGATACTTAGGTGCATTGTATCTATTTCCATCATCTTGATCATCACTATTCCAGTTATATGAGAATGTAGAGGGGAAATCCTTTTCATAATTTATTTGAAATCGTTGTGACATTTAGTGTCAAATGCAAATATTTACAAACATTTCACTTATCTTCTATTGTTGCTTGTAGATTTCATGCTGAGTGTTATGACCGGTTTTTAAAGAATTGACAATATAGCTCCAAAACACAGATAATTTAGCTCGTTGAATTAAAATATATAAATATTTTTGTCATTAATATCTGACCTATTATTCTTCACTCGCTTCACTAAGGGAAATAATAATCTTAAAAAATCAACATTAATCAAGTATAAGTCAGTATCTATAGATGAATGCTTGAACAATGAACAAAAGGACATCTTCAACTCCGAAAAAAACTTCCAACTATTCTTACCTTCATTTGGATCATGATACACGTTATCTGGACTTAGTTCTTCTGCATTCATGAATTTGTTGATTCTTTTGACGGACACCCAAGTCTACACACAATAAATTCTAGGTTAGAATCGTTGGATGATTGAAAAATCCAGAAAACTAACTGGAATGCTAACATGGACAAATCAATTTTCCCTTTTTTGCTATGATCAATGTTTGAGTTATACTTCAGAGCAACAATATCGAGATTTTCGTAGGAATTGTAAAAATATTTTGATTATATCTAAATCAGCAGTCCAGTTAGAAGGTGTTGTTAATACATATTTCAATGATTATTTATTTAGTATGCTGATTCTAGTAGCTATTAGATAGAAAATTGAGCAACATCTAGGAACTATTAGTGCAATCTGATAAAAGTAAGTTTGCTTCCAAGTGCATTACGAATGTAGACAATAAAAAAATGTAGTGTTGAATACTCGTGATAGTGAAAACATGAAGCTTATCAAAAGAAGATTAATTTGACGAGAATCCGCCATAAGAAAACTTCTTCATTATATTGTTTGATACAAAGGCATAAGCACAATAAAAACCATTGAATACATTCAAAAGATTGAATTTCCACATGCGTACAGAAAAATCATAACAAATTTGGTAGAATTCTTTGGGTATTACTCAACGGTGTAGAAGAAAATCAGGGTGAAGATTCAAATTTTACTAGACTAAAGAGAATCATTAATAATTATTTATAAATGAAAACGCAATCCTCACAAACAACTTTTTCCTAAAAGCTGAGTAACACCCAAAAATATCCGAACGATATCCAAAACACAAAATAATCTTACTTGTATCAAATTCGAAATTATCATTGGCAACATGCTCAACGGAAACCGAATGATATTGAAGAGAGAGATAGAGACATAGGCCTTATTCGCGTCTAGCACGTTTTTCTCATCCACCAGTACGTAGGTAGCGAAAGACACCAATGACACCTGTGGCATGCACGAGACAAAAAAAATTATGAAAGTAAGGAAATATCGATATTATGGGTGATGGCTGAGCACCATTAGGTAAGCACCAATCGTTCAGGGCGATTCCAAATTAGGGCAACCGTCGATTAACAGTCTACTTTGGCTATTTCCCGAATCCAACTGTCAGTGTTGAAACTATCTACTTATTTTTTTTTATTATTTATTTCACATAATCAGATTCACAAAACAGAGAGCTTGTACAGGATCCCATTATCCATTGATGAGTATCATACTGTTTTTAAAAGTAATACATTAGTAATAATCTTTTTACCAACTTTGACTGAGATTAAACAAGATTCTCAGTGCAGCTCAATAGCTCAGTTGTATTTCATGTTACATATATCTTAGTCTGATGTGAGTTGTCTTAACTATTTCTTCCCCCTCACCCCAACTGAGCTTGATATTCATCTGGTGTTGTAGTGAGAAAAAGGTGAGATTATATTTTCTTTTTACATGCTTCCAGCTTTGAAGTTTCAGTCCACACTCCACAGGTTAAATCCTTTGAAAAAAATAATGAATTTGTTTCCAAAAATTCCTTGATATAGGTGATAATTACAACTCTAAGGCTGAAGCATGCAGTCCAACAGGCTAGATAATAATTATGATGTGATCACAGACGGAAATAATGCTTATATAATTGACGGGAATTCGATTCTATTATGTTGGGTTATGTTTTCTTCCCTTGCCCTTCCTGACAGATAAAAACGTGTACTTTCTATTCAATCGGCAACTCAGATCAGTCTCACCTTCTTCTAACTCAATTGATCTCAGTAGTGAGAATGTAACAAGGTAAAAAGAGTATTGCTATATTGAGTTAATAAGTAACATAATTATTGCCCTAGAACTTAGTACAGGACAAGAAATAGATAAGCATATAAAAAAATATGTCAAGAGATAATACATATAAAACACATCCCTATCACAACACAAATTGTCAAATCAGGTCGTTATTAAAAATGGAATCAAACAACTGCTTTCTGGACGATTTCATACTATCATTATTTCTTAGTTTAGTTGGTAGGTTATTTAAATGATTAACAGCTTTGCAAGTTATTGAGCTTTGAGTTCTGGTAGATTTGAATCTATTTGGCCGTAAATTGTTTGCCGATCTTGTTGAGTAATTGTGAAACTCGTTATTAGCAATAAGTTCGATTGTTGTTTTCAAGTAGTTAGTATTGATTTTACGAATAGTTTTCGACGATTCAAATTTAATAGCTTCAGACGAATTTAGTAACCCGGTTTCCTTATTCTGTGCTGTCTGCAAAGATTTTCTGTCACTAGCATTTGAAGCATTTCCCCACCCACTTAAGAGATATGACATATAAGAACACTTGAAGGTTTTGCACTAGTTTCAAACTATAGTATATTCCGAGATCTTATTATAATAGATGTCGCTGTACGAATTCTCTTTGAAATGTAAATAAAAACTCAATTATCAGAAGGTTGAAGGTTTTGCACTAGTTTCAAACTATAGTATATTCCGAGATCTTATTATAATAGATGTCGCTGTACGAATTCTCTTTGAAATGTGAATAAAAACTCAATTATCAGAATTTCATTAAACACTATCAAAAATGAACCTTCTTACAAGTATAAACGATTGTTGTTATTTGGTCCGATGACTTTACGGATTTGCTACAAAGAGAAGAAAAACCTTGTAAGTTGTTTGAGAACACGATATTCTTATAAACATATCAGTATATTCTCTCTCATGGCAGTATCTGTGAGCGACAAGGTGAACTACTTTTTGTTGAGTTCTCAAGGGTTTCAATACTGTATTCTTAGTTGAAATTCTAATGTTGAATTGACATTGTACGTAAAAGTGTATCATTCTGGAATAACAGAAATACAACAACTGACACTGCTGACAGTTGATTTCGGAAAATAGCCATAGAGGACGCCGCACTATGTATTCGTTGAAAACCATTGAGTATAGGAAATAGTTCAGTTTCACTTAAGTCAAAAGTGGTACCAGTTCCGCCATATTGATACGACAAACAGATAATTGGTTATGCAGCCTTCTTTTATTTGTTTTCTTAATGTTTTTATGTGAATCGTATACTGTCATGTTGACACATAGTAATTATATGTATACGAAGAGTTCGCTACATAGCTTTGAGTATCAAAAACCAATTTCAGATAATATTCATTATCCAAGTCCTCCCGACTCACTTTGTATAATGTAGAAAACATTGACCAACAACTGGATGATTGTTTAAACAATTGATAGTGAGTTTACAGTTTACGACAAGTTATTGAATTTTGTCCTCATATTTTCTAGTAAGAAACTTGATTTAGTCTGAAGTGACAGCTATATTGATACACTTGGTCACGCCCAGTGGCGCCATTTTGAGCTTGTAGAAAAGATTTCTCATTATTTCCTATATCAACTCAATGGACAACTATGCCAAAAAAGTCTAATATATCACCAACATTGGCAGCCAATTAGAGAATCGTCCTGTAAACACCTGCCTACCGCTAATACTGTATGATCGAATAAAATGGGATATTAGAGAATGGGCGAGTAAAAACCAATGTTTCCTTCTTCTTCTTCTTCTTGTTTTTTTACCTCGATGATGTACACCAGCAACATTGGCAGCAAGGCTAGCGGCATCGCCATTATTTGAAAGAGTGCGATGGATTTGAAAATTTTTTCGGCGGTCAATATGTGACTCGGGTCGCTCAGAGTGTACGCCACTAACGTGGCCAGAGTTACCTAAATTTTTTCAATAGGTAAAATTTCCATGAAAATACACTCACCGGCACAAAAACCGGCCACAATAAATATTCACGTAAATAGTTAGGAAACGTTTAATTTTGTATGATGATGGGATTTTGCAAAACACAGAGTTACACAAAATGAATTTCTTAATGGGTTACGTACAATATACCGGGTGACACAGGAGACATGTAACAGCCTGTAGTAGTTTTATTTGCAGAGATACAAATTCGAAATTCACAAGGGTCATATTATCGATGATGGCACTTCCCTTGAATCCAATGACAATTTTTGTCAACCACCTGTTTGATTGGAAATATACCCAACTGTTTTTTTTTCAAATGGCACCCTGTATACTTCTTCAATCTATCTTATTCGCCTTGAAATTCTCTATTCTAATTCTCTATTCTCAAATATCCTAGGTCCTAGAATATTCAATAACTTACCTGAATATTTGAAAAACGCAAAAAAAGTATCTTCTTTCAAAAAATGCTTGAAATCATTTCTTATTGAAAAGTGTTTCTACTCGCTTAACGAATATTTTCATAAATGACCATGTTTCTCTCTTTTATATAATGTTCGTCTATCATATTATGTAATCTGTCATTTATCTAGTTTTAGATTTATATACTTGTAACAACCTGACTATTCCTATACTTTTTTAGAAACTCCAAAGGAAAATAAAGATATTTATTTATATATTTATTCATTTATATTCATTCAATTTTTTCCAGGAAGAAAATGGAGACAATAAACGAGCGCCTGGCTTCCAACAAAATTGACGTTTCAAATGACAAAAATTGAATCAATGAAAAACGAGGTTGGTTGGTTAGTCGCGACCAAGGTGGATAGAATATGGTGTAATCACAGACAGTGTTTTGTTCCTTCCAAAACGCTTGACCGCAGATTCCGCAATAATGGCATATTAGTTCTCAGTTGTCCGCAAGATGGCGACACTTTTTACAGATTTCTTCCATGACAGAAAATAGAAAACGGCGCTTACACACCACTTGCACCAGAAATAATAATATCATAACATTGATAACAAACCTCTAATCAAATGAGATTAAATTTGAAAGTACGAAACTGTAATTTTGGGGGATTTTAATCATCATCAACTCTACCAACCTTGAATTTTGGTTGAGATTTCGCCATCTAACGGGTAAAATGCGACCTATATTCCGCGATATTGAAAAGAATCCTTCTGTCAAGTAGGCCGTAGGTCAAGAACTTTGACCGAAAAACAGTAGATGGGAGTTTCAATACCATCTTCTGTTCATCCTGGTCACGACTCACGTGTAGGCCAATATGGCGATTTAATATCACTCATACCCCCGAATTTGCAGCACTCAACGGGCAAAAAAATCCTCAATTTCAAAAAACATGACAAGCAGTACTCTTAAATGTAGTCAATAACGAGTTTACCCTCATCCAGCTTGTATGACAGGTTAGGTTAGGTTCGGGATAATTTTTAATCCCATACTTTCGTAAAAAATACTTGTATTGTCTCTTGAAAAATAGATATTGACGTGAATCAAAAATCATTGTGTTAAGAAGGGATCAAACTTCAATGAAGGAGTAACGTTTTTTTTTTCTTCTGTATAATGAATAAGCCATCAGCTTTTTTAAGAATAGCATTTCAGAACACTCCGAAACATGAATCTACGATTCGGCTGAAATTTATCTGGCCGGTTTTTTTACTGGTGAATGTATTTATTTTTTTTCAACAAAAAACATATTTTGAAGCCATGAAACACACTTAGATTTGCAGTAAATCTGTTTTTCCTGAAATAGTAAAGTATTGTAGTTTTGCGATCAGATATTCCTAAAGAAAATAAAAAAAAATAGTAAAATAATCATCGTGAAATAAAAATTCGATGGATAGACTTTCGAAAAAGACTTACCAAAAAGGGGGCGCAGGACCAAATAAATGAAGTGCCTGCGTTCAAATACGCTGCCTGTTTGAGAACTCTGATCTCTTTGTTCCTGATCTTCAACACCTGATTCTCGAAACTCGGTTCCCAAGCGTACAATTTCAGCACTTTGATGCCGTTGAGGATTTCGTTCATCAGTTTCACGCGTTCGTCTTTGTTCCTCATTTGCTTAACCTGCAGCACAGAATCAAGGGAATCGTTTCAATCCAATAGGGAAGTTTCCTTCCGATGAGTCTCAACCAAAATGGGATATTCTGGTACATTCAAATCTGAAACACCCTGTCTGTCTCTGTGTTCTTTTTATCCTACTCATCGTGAAATTTGCTCGATTTTTTCTCTACATCGTTTCTGTTGAATTCTTTCAAATCACCAGAGATTGTTTGCAATAATCTATCTTCGGCCTGTGTTAAATTTTTTCAAATCGTTTTACTTTCGAAAATAATACTGCCAGTATATCTGTGTTCAATTCTTCATCCTATATTTTGTATACTATATATCTGTTTCCCCCCGTATAATTTCATTATCGTCATTAGTCATAGATAAATCATTTGTTCGGAAATTAATCGGTTAGCAGCATGATGTAACCTATTAGTCATTCATTCGAGACCAGGTGGTGAATCAAGAATCAAGACAGTCTTATATTAGATGTCATCACGTACAGTCGAATTTTGTGATCCCAGTTGAAAAATACGCGAAAGGAATTATTTATCGTTCCAAAGGGAGTGTTCAATTGAGAATGAGTGAAAGTTTTGTGTTTTTGTGTTCCTCATTCAATGCAGTGATTACATTATGGCGATCGTGTGCTGTTCTGGTGTTTCGTGTTGTTTCATCAAAGCTTCGCATTTTTCACGCTGGTGAGTGAATAGAGATTCTCTGTTTTTCTTCATATTTTCCTGTTTATATTTAACTCAATTTTAATGAAAATAAGAAACGTCGGTTCGAAATTTTTTCATGGAAAAATACCTTTTCTCTATACAGGGTGTTTCAAATTTGAATGTACATACTATACCTGAAGATAGAGGAAACCTTGGTGATTTCAATCACTCCCTATCGATGTGTCTTCCATATTTTATTATCAATATAATATACCGGGTATGTCACGACGAGATTACACCATCTTTATATCGAGAATCAGTCGGGAGAAATCCATGTTAATGTGCATGCTTATATTTCAGGATACGCTCTCTTCATTTAAAATATTTTCGACAATGCAGTGTTGCCTCTTCTACTAGAAAGTAGTAGCGACATTGATATTTCAAATGGAATACCTTGCATTTCATCGCATTTTTAGATTTAGATAGAAAATAATAAATTTATTCACGCTTTTCAAGAACTGAGCTATCTCTGGTATGAAAACTCTTTTGATCTGCGAGGGAGCAAACAGATTGCAAGGGAGCAGACAGATCGCATGGGAGTAAACAGATCTGCAAGGGAGCCGACCAAATCATGTTCAAGTATTTGATCAAAGGCATGAATTTCTGCGCATCTACCGCCATAATAATCACAATTCACACAAAAAAAGATATAGCTTCACCTGCAAAGTTTTCATTCGATTGGCGATGAACCCATTGACAGGTATCAAAATGATCATAACGGCCAAACCAGCCAACACGGAAGGCCCCAACTCCTGCCACAAAAAGTACATGGACAAACAGATCTGCAATGGCGCCGACCAGATCATATTCAAGTACCCGGTGATGTCCATGAATTTCTGCGCATCCACTGCCATCAAATTGACGATCTCGCCCACGGTACTCTCTTTTCTAGCGCTGTTCGATATCTTCAAGGCCTTGCGGTAGATGGTGCTGACCAGCACGGTCCGTATGCGCATACCCACGATGAACATCCGGTTGAAGTATTGCGAGAGGAAGAGCGTTTGGACGGTGGCCGTGAGGAATAGAAGGCCTGCGTAGAAGTAGCCCTTCCATACTTCCTTGTTGCCGGCGTCTTGTCTCGCGTAAGATATCATGAATCTGAAAGGTGTTAGGTGGAAAGGAATGTCCAATAATGCGGAGATCATCACTACCATAGATAATCGGACCTCTAGAACATGATGGAAATAAGTACTAGGCCATTTTTACGTATTGAAAAATACGAAAAATCACTCGACCGCTTACTATGATTTCTCTACTTCACATCGAGCGAGACGGTTTTTCCGCTAGATGGTGATGATGCTATTCGCGAAAATCACGAAGTGTGCGGCCTCTGGTGGCTAACTGTATAAGTCTTGCGAGTATGAACAACAATAACAACAAATATGGCGACCATTGTTTTGAGTTTCATAATTATGTGTTTTACCTCATTTTTCCCTGATGAAAAAACTCGAATTATTGCATGAACTTTTATTGTTTACAATGAAGAAACCAGTACCTACCTTATAATAATATAATATACATTTTCTGAAGCACAATTAGAATCATTGTATAAATGTTGGTTGCAATGATTCGATCTTGAGAATAACTTCAAGTCCTCAATTGCTGGAGATCCTTGTTTGTAAATCGATGATATTGTTCATTCTGAGCAGCCTCTCCAACCATATCTTCTTTTCCAACCCCTTCACTAGAATTCCATCTCCTTCATAAAAGCCAATGATATTTCTTGATGAATTCAATTATTTCTTCATGCCTATACCATATTGTTGTGATAGTTGATTCCTTATGGTTCCATTCCAGTCCATGCAAGTGTTGAGTGGACCATTCCGACCATTAAATATGTTTGAAAACTGTGGAATTGTAGTTTGATATCAATGATGAATACCACCATTGTCCACATCAAAATGACAATTTCTCTGCACAAAAAGTAATTTTTTCCACACTGGAAACCTTGTACCTATTTCACGAAGTCAACTTATTATTCACTATTTTGCGAAATGATTTCGAAATAACCAATTTGCAACGAGTTTTTTGTTGTTCATACTCAGTTCGAAATTTGACGTTGATTTGACGTTTAATAGAGCCATCTATTGGTTCGTGATTTTCGCGAATTGCTGTGACGAGTGAAACTAAAATGGCAAATTGCATTTCAGGTTCGCAGAACTCATGTAAGAGTGGGCTTATTTCACCCGAAATTCGAAAATTCTACGGCATTTTCAGAATTGACAGATGTCATAACTGTGCAATGTCGCCATCTATTAGGAGATCGCCGGAACCATTGTTCTCGAGAGGTCGAGAAGAATTTCTGAAACAACAGCGCATCAGTAAATACACCATCTACTACACATCTACTTATCTCCATCAATCTTAAGCACAAGATGGTAGTACCTATCCTAGGAATCATTGAATATTCTTTATATTGGCCATATTGAAACACTACCTCACTTTTCTCATTTGTTTACAAATGATTGAAATAGTTTTTCACAATTATGTTGGCATACGAATCGTGCTTTTCGGCTATTCATTAATTCGCGCATGTCATCACATTGTGCTGTTGTACAATGCACAAAAAATGCAGCGAGAGACGAAGGCATCCGGTTGGTACATTATGATTTGAAAGTAAGTACCTACTAAAGTCACTCACATATCGAAGCCCTGAGGGGGCAGAAGGACGATCTAGCCTTCATAGCCATCTAGTGGCTCAAGTGCAAGGTGTATAGGTAGATTCATCAATCATACCTTGCGACTAAGTCGTGCATATAGACCCCTACGTCTATATGCTTACAGAAAAGACATCCATGTCAGATTCTGTAGACTATCGCAACACCTGTAATTCTCAAAGTGGTTTAATGTTCCACTAACAGATGGTGATAAACCTAGAATCTCAAGACTAAGAGATTCTAGGTAAATTTCGTGAATCGATTGTCAGCTGATGCAAGACAGACTGTTTCGACTTGCCATAAGTCTCATCAGTTGCACTGGCCAGCTGACAATCGATTCACGAAGGGTACCTCCATATATCAAACAAGTCGAAGCCCTGAGGGGGCATAAGGACGATCTAGCCTTCATAGCCATCTAGTGGCTCAAGTGCAAGGTGTATAGATAGATTCATCAATCAGTCTACAGAATCTGACATGGATGTCTTTTCTGTAAGCATATAGACGTAGGGGTCTATATGCACGACTTAGTCGCAAGGTATGATTGATGAATCTACCTATACACCTTGCACTTGAGCCACTAGATGGCTATGAAGGCTAGATCGTCCTTCTGCCCCCTCAGGGCTTCGACTTGTTTGATATATGGAGGTACCCTTCGTGAATCGATTGTCAGCTGGCCAGTGCAACTGATGAGACTTATGGCAAGTCGAAACAGTCTGTCTTGCATCAGCTGACAATCGATTCACGAAATTTCCCTAGAATCTCTTAGTCTTGAGATTCTAGGTTTATCACTCACATATAGTTGTCATTTTGAAATTTGGTAATTTTCTCTGATTTATCATCGGAATTCCTTCTGCAATAGGAGCTAATAGAAATACTCGTGAAATTTCTGAAAGAATACAAGAAGATTGGATTAGTACAATCAAACGGGAGGACTGGTCTGATATGCTCACGAAATATGATCGTGTGTGTTGTAGACATTTTCAATCTATTAGCAGTATTAGCTTCTATTGCAGAAGTGGCAGAAGGAATTTTAATAAGGAATGACAAAATTTCATAATGAAAACTATGTGAGATTACTAAATAATAATAATTAAGGAGCTTTATTGGATACCCAAATGGCTACCGACCAAGGTCCTTCAGCCTGTGTTATACAGTGATTATACATTGAGTTCAAATTCATTATTATTGTATGTACAAGATATATGGAATTATCAAATTCGCTAATGTAAAAAAAAAGAAGAAAAATCTATTGTGGGCAAGAATTTCGATGGAATTTCAGTCTTCTGAATTGATTAAGCATTCCAATAGTGTGTTTTCCGGAAACTTCCGTCTTGGGTTCACTGTTGGATCTCTCTGTAAACACTGGAATTGGATGATTTAAAACTTCAAGGTTAGCTTTTTCAGTCTCTCAGAAATTGGTAGCACCCTGATCAGCCGATATAGAAGTTCGTTTAATGGATGGTGAAGGGGATTTTGGTAATGGCTCCCAGGCTAGCTCTTTCTGCTACTTCCAAATTGTTCAGTGCCGTCTTTCTCGCGTTTATATATATTGGCTGAGCATACTCAAAAATGGCGGCGAATGGTTTTGTAAATATGTGCTGCAGTTCTTTTGCTAATTCCTTTATTCTTGTAAGTTTGCCTTCGAAAATGTTTAGCTCTTGTGACGCACTTTTTTTTTCATCAACTGGGTATGATAGTTGAAGTTTAGTTTTTGATCTAAGTGCACTCCCAGATATTCAACTGAAGCCCTAGTTCTCACTACATGATTGTTCACAGTTACCGTGGGTAAATCATCTGATATTTTTTGATTGAAGAGTATCAGTTGGGATTGAGATTACTATTTACCTGAAAATCATATTCCTTCGTCTCTCGCTGCATTTTTTGTGTATTGTACAACAGCAAAATGAAAAGGCATGCTTGAATTAATGAATAGCGCAAAAAACACGATTCGTATGCCAAAATATTGCGAAAAACTATTTCAATCCTTTGATTCCTCTGTAAACGAATAAAAAAAGTGAGGTTGTGTTTCAATGTTTTATCTCCTAACATAACCTGATCTAATCTACCAGGGTTGAATTTCTTCATCAATTTATCCTTATATACCTAGGTTTGAGAGATGTTACTTCTCATTACAGGAAATCCTCAGGTTAGTGGCAGAAAAAATAAAATGTACGAGGTCCGATTATCTATGTATAGTGTTCGTGATCTCCCATCGAAAAATAACTTTACCCACCCCAAAATTTGCGGGCTGGCGAACGTCAACAGATCCTGCACCAGCTTGAGGCATGCGCCGAACAAGAACGTGGCGCCGAAACTCTTCAGCAGCGCCGGTAAAATGGAGGCTTGCTTCTTCTTGCGACTGCTGACGAAATCAACTCGAGTGGGGTCAGACTTGAATTTGGCTGACGTCACCTGGGCGGGTGTTGGACTGTAATGTTTTTTGTTTTGATTTTTTACTTTTACAGCTTTTTACTATTTTGAAAGAATTATTGTCTTGGAAAGTAAACGGGAAAAATTGCCTTCTGATAGTTTTTTGAGTCGAATTTCCTTAAGGCAATAGAACTCGAATTATATTTAATGTCAAGTTTACTATGTCTACAAAAAATCCTCGAGTATAATTCGGTAAGACAATTCTATGATGGTTTATTCTTTTTATGATTTTCCTGATTGTCGTAGAATTTCAAAAAAATGCATACACACTAATTCAGAAAAAGAATCTGGTAACAGATTAAGCAGAAAACACTTCCTTTAGATTTCCAAAATCAACTGTTTCCACAATGCAGTAGTCTCATATAGGTCGAAAAATATATTTTCCTGATGAGCTTGAAATTCCCAAAAATTCATACACACTAATTCACAGCCATAAAAAAGAATATAGTAGCAAACTTTTCCTAAGGATTTTCAGAAATAACGGTTCAATCAATGCAGTAGGCTTATACAGGTCGTGAAATATTTTTGCCTGATTAGCCTGAAATTACTAAAAAATTCATACACACTCATTGAAACCCATGAAAAAATGATGTATCAGATTTATCAGAAAACTTTCCCTCGGGATTTTCAAAATGAACGGTTCAAGCATTGCAGTGGCCTCATATAGGTCCCAAAATATTTTTTTCTAATTAGCCTAAAATTCCCAAAAAATTCATACATCTAATTCAGACCAATAAAAAACGAATCTGGTATCAGATTTAGTGAAAAACTTTTCCTCTGGATTTTCAAAACTAGCGGTTCACGCAAATCAGTCAACTCATACAGGTGGAAAAACATTTTTTTTTTCTGATAAGCCTAAAATTCCCAAAAAATTCATACAAACTAATTCAGACCCATATAGAACGAATCCGGTATCAGATTTAGTGAAAAACGTTTCCTCTGGATTTTCAAAACTAGCGGTTCACGCAAGGCAGTCAACTCATACAGGTGGAAAAACATTTTTTTTTTCTGATAAGGCCAAAATTCCCAAAAAATTCATACAAACTAATTCAGACCCATAAAGAACGAATCCGGTATCAGATTTAGTGAAAAACGTTTCCTCTGGATTTTCAAAACTAGCGGTTCACGCAAATCAGTCAACTCATACAGGTGGAAAAACATTTTTTTTTTCTGATAAGCCTAAAATTCCCAAAAAATTCATACAAACTAATTCAGACCCATAAAGAACGAATCCGGTATCAGATTTAGTGAAAAACGTTTCCTCTGGATTTTCAAAACTAGCGGTTCACGCAAGGCAGTCAACTCATACAGGTGGAAAAACATTTTTTTTTTCTGATAAGGCCAAAATTCCCAAAAAATTCATACAAACTAATTCAGACCCATAAAGAACGAATCCGGTATCAGATTTAGTGAAAAACGTTTCCTCTGGATTTTCAAAACTAGCGGTTCACGCAAGGCAGTCAACTCATACAGGTGGAAAAACATTTTTTTTTCTGATAAGGCCAAAATTCCCAAAAAATTCATACAAACTAATTCAGACCCATAAAGAACGAATCCGGTATCAGATTTAGTGAAAAACGTTTCCTCTGGATTTTCAAAACTAGCGGTTCACGCAAGGCAGTCAACTCATACAGGTGGAAAAACATTTTTTTTTTTCTGATAAGGCCAAAATTCCCAAAAAATTCATACAAACTAATTCAGACCCATAAAGAACGAATCCGGTATCAGATTTAGTGAAAAACGTTTCCTCTGGATTTTCAAAACTAGCGGTTCACGCAAATCAGTCAACTCATACAGGTGGAAAAACATGTTTTTTTCTGATAAGGCCAAAATTCCCAAAAAATTCATACAAACTAATTCAGACCCATAAAGAACGAATCCGGTATCAGATTTAGTGAAAAACGTTTCCTCTGGATTTTCAAAATTAGCGGTTCACGCAAATCAGTCAACTCATACAGGTGGAAAAACATTTTTTTTTCTGATAAGCCTAAAATTACCAAAAAATTCATACAAACTAATTCAGACCCATAAAGAACGAATCCGGTATCAGATTTAGTGAAAAACGTTTCCTCTGGATTTTCAAAATTAGCGGTTCACGCAAATCAGTCAACTCATACAGGTGAAAAAACATTTTTTTTTTCTGATAAGCCTAAAATTCCCAAAAAATTCATACAAACTAATTCAGACCCATATAGAACGAATCCGGTATCAGATTCAGTGAAAAACGTTTCCTCTGGATATTCAAAATTAGCGGTTCACGCAAATCAGTCAACTCATACAGGTGGAAAAACATTTTTTTTTCTGATAAGGCCAAAATTCCCAAAAAATTCATACAAACTAATTCAGACCCATAAAGAACGAATCCGGTATCAGATTTAGTGAAAAACGTTTCCTCTGGATTTTCAAAATTAGCGGTTCACGCAAATCAGTCAACTCATACAGGTGAAAAAACATTTTTTTTTTCTGATAAGCCTAAAATTCCCAAAAAATTCATACAAACTAATTCAGACCCATATAGAACGAATCCGGTATCAGATTCAGTGAAAAACGTTTCCTCTGGATTTTCAAAACTAGCGGTTCACGCAAATCAGTCAACTCATACAGGTGGAAAAACATTTTTTTTTCTGATAAGGCCAAAATTCCCAAAAAATTCATACAAACTAATTCAGACCCATAAAGAACGAATCCGGTATCAGATTTAGTGAAAAACGTTTCCTCTGGATTTTCAAAACTAGCGGTTCACGCAAGGCAGTCAACTCATACAGGTGGAAAAACATTTTTTTTTTCTGATAAGGCCAAAATTCCCAACAAATTCATACAAACTAATTCAGACCCATAAAGAACGAATCCGGTATCAGATTTAGTGAAAAACGTTTCCTCTGGATTTTCAAAATTAGCGGTTCACGCAAATCAGTCAACTCATACAGGTGGAAAAACATTTTTTTTTCTGATAAGGCCAAAATTCCCAAAAAATTCATACAAACTAATTCAGACCCATGAAGAACGAATCCGGTATCAGATTTAGTGAAAAACGTTTCCTCTGGATTTTCAAAATTAGCGGTTCACGCAAATCAGTCAACTCATACAGGTGGAAAAACATTTTTTTTTCTGATAAGCCTAAAATTCCCAAAAAATTCATACAAACTAATTCAGACCCATATAGAACGAATCCGGTATCAGATTTAGTGGAAAACGTTTCCTCTGGATTTTCAAAACTAGCGGTTCACGCAAATCAGTCAACTCATACAGGTGGAAAAATATTTTTTTTTCTGATAAGGCCAAAATTCCCAAAAAATTCATACAAACTAATTCAAACCCATAAAGAACGAATCCGGTATCAGATTTAGTGAAAAACGTTTCCTCTGGATTTTCAAAACTAGCGGTTCACGCAAATCAGTCAACTCATACAGGTGGAAAAACATTTTTTTTTTCTGATAAGGCCAAAATTCCCAAAAAATTCATACAAACTAATTCAGACCCATAAAGAACGAATCCGGTATCAGATTTAGTGAAAAACGTTTCCTCTGGATTTTCAAAACTAGCGGTTCACGCAAGGCAGTCAACTCATACAGGTGGAAAAACATTTTTTTTTTCTGATAAGGCCAAAATTCCCAAAAAATTCATACAAACTAATTCAGACCCATAAAGAACGAATCCGGTATCAGATTTAGTGAAAAACGTTTCCTCTGGATTTTCAAAACTAGCGGTTCACGCAAATCAGTCAACTCATACAGGTGGAAAAACATGTTTTTTTCTGATAAGGCCAAAATTCCCAAAAAATTCATACAAACTAATTCAGACCCATAAAGAACGAATCCGGTATCAGATTTAGTGAAAAACGTTTCCTCTGGATTTTCAAAATTAGCGGTTCACGCAAATCAGTCAACTCATACAGGTGGAAAAACATTTTTTTTTCTGATAAGCCTAAAATTCCCAAAAAATTCATACAAACTAATTCAGACCCATAAAGAACGAATCCGGTATCAGATTTAGTGAAAAACGTTTCCTCTGGATTTTCAAAATTAGCGGTTCACGCAAATCAGTCAACTCATACAGGTGGAAAAACATTTTTTTTTCTGATAAGGCCAAAATTCCCAAAAAATTCATACAAACTAATTCAGACCCATAAAGAACGAATCCGGTATCAGATTTAGTGAAAAACGTTTCCTCTGGATTTTCAAAACTAGCGGTTCACGCAAGGCAGTCAACTCATACAGGTGGAAAAACATTTTTTTTTTTCTGATAAGGCCAAAATTCCCAAAAAATTCATACAAACTAATTCAGACCCATAAAGAACGAATCCGGTATCAGATTTAGTGAAAAACGTTTCCTCTGGATTTTCAAAACTAGCGGTTCACGCAAATCAGTCAACTCATACAGGTGGAAAAACATGTTTTTTTCTGATAAGGCCAAAATTCCCAAAAAATTCATACAAACTAATTCAGACCCATAAAGAACGAATCCGGTATCAGATTTAGTGAAAAACGTTTCCTCTGGATTTTCAAAATTAGCGGTTCACGCAAATCAGTCAACTCATACAGGTGGAAAAACATTTTTTTTTCTGATAAGCCTAAAATTACCAAAAAATTCATACAAACTAATTCAGACCCATAAAGAACGAATCCGGTATCAGATTTAGTGAAAAACGTTTCCTCTGGATTTTCAAAATTAGCGGTTCACGCAAATCAGTCAACTCATACAGGTGAAAAAACATTTTTTTTTTCTGATAAGCCTAAAATTCCCAAAAAATTCATACAAACTAATTCAGACCCATATAGAACGAATCCGGTATCAGATTCAGTGAAAAACGTTTCCTCTGGATATTCAAAATTAGCGGTTCACGCAAATCAGTCAACTCATACAGGTGGAAAAACATTTTTTTTTCTGATAAGGCCAAAATTCCCAAAAAATTCATACAAACTAATTCAGACCCATAAAGAACGAATCCGGTATCAGATTTAGTGAAAAACGTTTCCTCTGGATTTTCAAAATTAGCGG